AAAAAAAAAAAAAGAAAGTCTGTGTAGTAACACAGGGGAAATGTTTTTGATGTGACAATAAGCAAAAGAAAAAAAGAAAGTGGGAAGAGGCAGGGAACAAAATTACATGTACAGTATTTTATGTGTAAAAATTGTGCACAGCAGAAAAATTAAAGACGATAAATAGATAGCTTCTAGACTGGCAGGGATAAAAAACAAAGATAATAAATTAAAATGTGAATAATGGTCAGCCCCGAACAGTGGAATTAGAGAATTTCTTCTTTCTGTCTTGGGTAATTCCCAAATCTTTTTTCATTAAGATGCATTCACAAAAGAAAAAAATAAAAATAATTATTGGCTTTTTTCCTATCTTCCAATTTAATGTCTTGGTAATATCACACATTTTTGTTAATTGAAATAAAATATCTTTAGGTCCCTAGAAATACCAACAGGATTCTTGAACTACCGAAAAGTAAAACAGACATAGCGTGAAAATACTGGTTAAAATACATAAAAATCAGAGAATAGACAAATCTCCTGTGCATAAGAATTCCACATAATTTATATGCTCTGTTCTCAATGAGTTGAAGCAAAGCTCCCCACTTCTTAATGCATCTGTGCATAGCACCTTCCTTCCAAAGAGTACACTATGGAAAGGGGGGAGTGACTTTACAGTGGGGAAATCTGACAAACACAACCTCTGCCAGTGACCATGGTTGACAGCGGTGTTGACAAGTCATTACTCGTCTTCACCCTTGATACAATGGGATGGAAATAGCCCTTCACCTCTGTGGTCTTCCTCCCCAAATGCGCAACCCTAGTCTAATCATGAGACAAACATACGACAAAGTCTAGCCGAGGAGAATCCTATAAAACACCTGACTGGCACTCCTTATAACTGTCATCAAAAGCCAGGGAAATCTGAGCAAATGTCACAGGCAAGTGGAGCCGAAGGAGACATAACTAAGTAATGGTGAGTCCTTCATGGGATCCTGGGATAGGAAACAGACATTAGGAAAAGACCCAGGCAACCTGGATAAAGGATGGGTGTCAGTGATTAACAACACCAATACTGGTTCCTTAATTGTGACAAACCACCTACCTGCAATGTAACATGTTAATAACAGGGGGAACGAGTCGTGGGTATATTGAGAACTCTGTACTCTGTTTGCAATAATATTGTAAATCTAACTGCTCTTAAAATAAAAAGTTTATTCTAAAAAATGCATGAAATCCAGTATGCTCCTTAAAAGGTAAGTTTCTCAGGTTCTTCAAGAGGGAAAAAATCCCTTCACACCTCCTTCCATCCACACTAAAGCCATTCACTTTTTTTCCTTTCATGGCCTCCTAATATCCCAATTTTTTAATCTGTACTTATTTGTACATTTTCTTATTTAATGTTTATTTTATGTATTTATTTATTCTTTAGAGACAGAGTCTCACTTTGTCACCTTCAGTAGAGTGCTGTGGCGTGACAGCTTACAGCAAACTCCAGCTCTTGGGCTTAGGCAATTCTCTTATCT